CACCGTGGCCGCCGCCGTCACGTTGGCGAGATACGGGTTGAGCGTGGATGTCAGGTAGTCGGACAGTGACTGGCAGGAGGCCTGAAAGACATACAGAGAGACTGGAAGAGTCACAGAAAGGCACAGAGACGGACTCACTTGGTCGTTTTCGGTTAACTGAGAACACAGTATGGCAAGTTTGTGTTGTCTGGAGCATTTTCTTCGACGACAAGAGGAAGAACAGCCAACGTCACGCCATGGTTTGCCGATTCCTGGCAGGGCTCTGCGTTTGGCTGCTTGTCGCGATGGTTACCTTGTCCTTGTAGTCTCCGCTCCCGCCCCACATGACCACGCCGGCGGCCCCCAGGGCAGCCGACTCGCCCACTGTGCTCACCAGATCCGCCTGGAAAGTCAAGTCACACGGATTCATTTTTGGGATTCGGACAGTGTGGGAGAAGTGAATTGTGAGTGTTAAACTTCACGCAATGTCCCAATGCACAATACCATCCATCCATCCATTTACTGATCTGCTTCATCCTCAGGAGGGTTCTCGGGGCGTGCTGGAGCCTGTACCAGCTGTAGGCGGGGGACACCGCGAACCGGTTGCCAGCCAATCGCAGTGCACACAAAGACGGACAACCATCCACGCTCACACTCACACCAAGGGACAATTTGGAGTGTTCATGCATGTTTTGGGAATGTGGGAGGAAACCGGAGTACCCGGAGAAAACCCACACAGGGAGGCAGGAGCCGGGATCGAAGCAAGCATGGAAGTCAACCTTTGACCAGAACCGATACACAGAGGCGGGGGGAAAAAAAGGCAACCTTGACCGGCAGTATACAGGGGCTCGAGCAGCAGGACTCACCGTGGTCTCAAAAATCCTGCTCTGCCCACGATACAGGGGTCTGGAGTAGACGTAGATGGGCATGGCGTACTGCCGTTTGGACAGCGCAGCTACCCTCAGGGCCTCGCGGACGCGGTACCACGCATAGAGCGCCGCCTGGGGGGAGTCCCTCAGGGCGGGGTGCAGGTAGACGGATGGGAAGAGGGCGGTACTGTGCTCCCAGAGCCACGTCAGCTCCTGATTCTGCTTGCGGGCCTTGGCCGAGCACCGGCCCGTGTAGCCTGGCCTGTCCCAGTTGTAGTTGTAGCAGTAGGGGAACAAGTAGAACCCCCAACGGCGGCTCGGACGCTCCCTCACTCCGAGCTGAATGGTTCTCTCCATGAAGCTCCGCCCAGCCCTCTGGAACTGATCCACAGCCAGCTGGGAGATCTCGTTCAGGGACAAGAACGGGGAGGCTTGCAAGGCGTTGGCCATGGACAGCTTTTGGTAGATCCGCTTGGACCCCCAGTTCTGGGCCCACAGGGGGCGCCAGGACTCCCAGTCTATGACGGCGAGGCCGGGGGATTCGTCCTCGGCTATGTAATGGTCAATTTGACGCCTGGCCTTGAGCAGGTGTGCTGTCAGGTTGCCATTTTGAGGGACGCCGCCCTCACGCCGCGTCCGGCTGGCGGGGTCGATCTTGGGGTAGAGGCCCAGCCGGTCCTCATAGAAGATGGTCAGGAACTGGCCCGGAACTGAGGCCGGCGTGGTCACCGCCTGGAAGAAGTGATGACCGAATGGAGCTTCGTGAAGCAGATAGAAAACGCAATGTCTGTCGAAATGATAACTGAACGTGAATTGTTAAAAGGGCAAATGTGACTGTTGTTGTTGTGGACCTGATGTGGACCTGAAAGTCATCAGCACCTGGAAGGCCGCGGTGTCCAATGGGATGTCCAGATGCTGGCACCGCTCAGTGCGGGCGTTCCACACGGTGACAAAGGGGTGTTTGGGAATCAGGGGCGGCTCGGTGGGCGCCAGCGTGGAAGCCGCTGGGATGAGACTCATGATCACGCAGGACAGAAGGTGCAGGAACATCGCGATGCTCGGGACTAAGAGGAGAAGAAAACATTTTGACCACTTAGCAAGTGAATCGTGGAACTCCAGTCAGTGAGATATCCGAGTCTGCGGTTGTTTCCTGTCTGCTAAGACGAGTAAGTGAACCGATACGACCGAATCGTCCGAATCCGTCGTGGTTCTGTGAGTCTCGAGTCAATGCGGCGGTACAACTGAACTATTTGAGCCTGCGGTGCTTCCGGCGAGTCGACTCGCTCAAGTCTACAAGCCGATCTCAGCAGACTCGCAATGATTTGGTTCTTTCGGCTCCCTGACTAGACAGACAGTCACCACACACGCAGACAGACTCAGGTAGCCAATCTTCGAAGTCCACTCACTGGCCTGGCGTATTCAACAGTACCCGACCAGAGATCCTGACGAGTGGAGCCCTTGATTTCACAAGTCCTTCTTCGGTATAAATATTTGCATTTGTCTGAGTCGCGAACGGACGCGGTGCGTGTATAAATGCCGGTTTGACTGTTGTGTCCCCGGTGTCTGAAGGGCTTCTGATGCCTTCTTCTGAGGCAAAAGTTCCAATGAGAAAAAAAAAAGCATGAAATGATTGTGTGATCTCTTTTTGTTCATGATCTCCAATATCAGTCAAATTACTATTTTTTATGTGGCAAAATTGTGATTGCATGAGAGAAGTTGTCAGTATAAAAGGAAATCATTTGTTAAAATAGTCGAAAATGACATTCGTACCTGCCTCTCTTCTCTGCGTCAGTCAAGTGCGAAGTTCTTTTCTGCGACTTCCTGAGACTTTCCTGAGAAATGACACGCACGTAAGCCAACTGTGCAACCATTTCTTTATCAGTGATCATGCATCTGGTGTTGGTCGATCGCATCTTCCTCTTTTCTCCAATCACCCACCCCCCACCCCCCGCCAAAAAAAGCACCACGCTGGCTGCTTTTATGATTCACGTTCAATGAGAAGACACTTTACAAACATGGTATAATAGGTAACAATGTTTATTTGCAGTGCATTTACATTCATGTGCTGCAAGTTTGATTCTACAATCATGACGTACGCGTAAAAACCAAAACAGTACTTGTTGCAGTTGATTAGTCGCCACGTGAGATGAAAATCTGTTTCAGACAAAAAACAGCCAAGGTCTACATGTTGGAAAACACTTTGCGACGTGCTGCTAGCATGCGAGGAACACAAGCTAGCATCGTTCATCGATTCAGCTGGCTCGGCGGGTCTTCCAAGCGTGTCCCTTCCCGAAGCTGAGAGCAAGAAGATCACACCAAGATGATTGATATTGAATTGAGACAAACGAACAGGAAAAACACCAGAACCGTCACTCTGTTCTTTCATCGCAATTGTTGTCATGAAGTGGAATTCGTTGCTCTCGTGTTTTCATCGGTCGTCTGGCTACGGAACAATGGCAATCAATGTTTGAAACTCGATACTCTGACAAAATAGAACGATACCGTGCAGATACTGCTTCTGTGGCAACGACAAAAATAATAAGCCGACTTTCCACCCCTATGAAGGCATACGATTTGTTGCCAGTCTAATTCAGGAGGGTTCGTTGGCCTTGGCGGAGGTATCCTGGCGTGTTCACATACACCGGTTGAACTTTTGAAGACGAGGAAGTGAAGAACCGCAGGAAAGCGCCAAGTCATGACTTGAGCTCAGCTGTGTGCCGTGGCCGACGTCCTCTTCAGTGTTTGTCGTAGCTACATTGCGGCTAGGAAATTAGTCACGTCGGCTAGTTCAATTCCTCTTAATGAAAAGAAAAAAAAAAAAACGCTAGTTAGTTAAGAGATTGTGATAAAGCACACATTTTTTTTGGTTATGCTTATAAAACCGAGTGACGGGGGCCAAAATGACAGTTTTTGACTCCCACGTGAGCATCGGTATATCATGTCAAGTAAAAGAGCTTTTGTAAAAATGATGAGCATTATTTTAGACTGAACAAGCTAGCCATACAAGAGCGCTTGTTTTGGTGGTGTTGCTCTTTTGGGAACATAATCATTAGCTTATAAGGGCTAACTAGTAGCATCACCAGCACCTACTAGTGGTAGAAGCTAACATTTTTGACCATACACACGCGTTAGCTTCATGCTGGGTAATAAAAGCAAGCGATCTCAAGTAAATTTTCGGATGTACAAAAACCTGACAGACTGTCACTGGTTGGTGCTTTGTTAGCGCTGCGAGCTGTGTTAGCAGTAGCAGGCCAGTGGGCTCAGCTCGTTGTTTTTTTCCATTGACCCGTCGCCGCTTCAAAAATCACCACTCTCAAATTCCATTGTGGAACATCACTGACACGATTGACTGAAAACTAAAGTGTTCCGGATGTATTAGGGTCAACTTTTTTTTTTTTTTTGGACTTGCGTCCTCGATAGAGCAATCACAAGCGGTCATTCACGCTCACCAGTGATTAGCAGCCCTTCCAATTTACAAAGACCAAATTTGGCAACTGAACTTTGGTTTCGAGAGCAACGTTGCGTTCCAGTCATTACATTCTTATGAGCTGCGTTGTGATCCGTGGACGCGAGCATGGTAGCATCAGTGTTAGCATGCTAACAAGCATCCGAATGTCTCGAGTGTTTCCCAGAAGGTCAACAGGAGCGCCGAGAGCGTCACGAGAGCAGCGTGGACGAGGGCGGGCGGCGCCCCGCTGCGTCCCTCGTCCGCCTGCCCACCCTGCTCGTCCTCCCACTCGCTCCTCCGCCGCGCCTCGTCGCCGCCGTCGTCTTCATCGTCGACGTCGACCTCCTCCAGCACCTCGTTGGCGCTATCGCAGCGCTCCCCCAGGTGACCTTCGTAGCAATGACAACGGAAGCGCTCCGCAAGCATGTTCAGGGCCTGGGGCGAGTGGTGCCCGCTGACGACGAAGCCTCTGTCGCCGGCCGCGGGGCGGATGCTGTAGGTGGCGGCGTCGAGGTGGAGGTAGTGGCGCGCGCTCGGGTTGCGGCGGACGCAGCGTCCGTTGTTCTGGCACAGGAAGTCGCTGCAGAACTCGGCGGCCCGCGTCACGTTGGTGATGTACTGGCCCAGCCGGCGGCTCAGGAACCAGCGCACCTTGCTGCAGTTGTGCTGCAGGGAAAACACGAGCGGGAGGAACATCCATCAGGCCCATTTCAAAGCAAAGGCAATTTACGCTTTCCACAAATAGCGAACTGACCATTGTTTGTCGATAAGTGCCCTGCCATTGCCTGGCGACCAGTGGAAACCAAACCGATGGACAGGCGTGAAGACTCAACAATGTCCCCATTTGGGATTAAATGTCATCAATTTTTTGTGTTTTCTGTTACAAGCACTTTTGCCACCAGGCATTGACTCTATGGAAACATATGAAATGTCAGACTGGAATTCCCCTGAACTATTGTTTTTTGGGGGGGCGGCAAAAGAAAGGAAAAGAAGATGAGAGGCAAAGTATTGTTGTTGGCGTGAGGCTGCTGTCTGGTTTCCAAAACAGTTCCAGACGCTGCAGGAAGACACGACATCCGCGAGAAAAGACGGCACGCGGATGACAACAGTGTGACTAATCGACATTAGACAGAGCGCCCTCTTTTCAAAATCAAGACAGCCTTTTAAAACATCATCAAAAATACTTCTTAACCCTTGGAAGCCTCCTTGCAATGGAAAAATGTCACGTCAAGTCCACTAGATGGCAGCATCCCCCCGAAAACAGAATACGCTCAGGTACACTTCTTTGTGCACGTTTTCACGCTTTCAAAATAAACTGCCCCTCCACCCCGAAATAGTTTTTTTTTTGAGCAGTACTGTATATAATTTCTATTCTCACATCAGAGCTGTGTGGTCAATTGAAATCTCAACCCCAAAATACGAGTACATAACGGGGACTAAAGCTATGGACTGAGGATTTTATCGCAAGGGTTCAATTACAAGATCTAATTTTGATGTATTAAAGTGAGTGTCAGGTAGGTTCACTATCTTTCTTCTTCTTCTTATCATTATTGTTGTTGTTTGAACTCGAGTTTAGCCAAGAGGTCTACAATTGCTTAACCATGATGTGTCGTAGCCTATCAGGGACAAATAACGTCAAAGTTGTTTCATATTGCAGTCTCGTTAGTTCAATGCTTCCAAACCTTTAGTATTTACATGTTATGGCATGGATATATTTATAAAGACATTTTCTTTCAATTAGGAGGTATTAAATTTGTTGTCAAAGTAATTGACATTGGATAATGTCTAACGCTTCACAGTAATGTGCCACGGTATACTAGTTGAAAATCACTGGATTATTCGGGAATTAAAATTTTACTCAGAGGCACTCCGAGACTGTGTCAATTGGATGAAATGTTTTTGAGGGCGCAGTGCATCTTGGGTACGAGTCGAATCGCGCTCCTCACCCGCGACATTTTTTTTTTTTTTTTTTTTGTAGTAAAAAATATATTTGGCCAAATCCTCACCCGCGACATGGTCAAGTTGAGGTCGCCCCAGATGACGAAGCCGGCGGCTCCCAAAGCGGCGCTCTCGCCGATGGTGTGGACGAGATCCTTCTGCGAGGAGGACACGGTAAGGTCACGATTCGTGAGTCACTTCGGATAGAACCAGCTAGCATGCGGGCTACTTAGCATGTGGGCAAAGCATTTTGATTTGGTCTGGAACGGGAATCAAACATATCTGAACCGACGTAAATGGTTGATGGAATGCAGGCTGAGCAAGCAAGGAGCCATGTAGCATATAGCAACTTAGCATGTTGCTACCGCTGCTCCAGTCCAATGGGCTGGAATTCGGCATTTTAGGTACCCAAACACAGCATCCCCCCCCTTGATACTCGACTGGGGAAAACTAATTAATCTGTCACTTTGTTGTCCTGTTGTAACTTCCACATTTGGATAACAAAATCGCTTCTTAGCTCAACCACTTGACTTTGTGCCCCATTGAAAACATGACAAAAAAGGGGGTACACCCACGTTACGTTGGTATTCCCCTAATTTGTTTTGAAAATAAAACTTTTAAATGAACACTCAGCATTTAGCTACTTAGCACGTGGGCAAGCGTGGTAAATGAATGTGATGTCCCTCTTGATTTGTTTTGGACACAAAAAGGTGGAACTCAATCAATGAAAACTGGACAGAACCGCACCGCCTCATGGAAATGAAACTTTTCCATCCAAACTTGCCGACTCGGCGTTAGCGTGTGAGCAAACCACTTACTGGCGCATCGGTCAATGAAATGAGACTTTCTTTTCATTGCCTGCTTAGCTTGTGGCTATTTAGCATGTAGCAAATTAGCATGACATTCCGAGCCGACAAGTCACGTGGTCTGAGATGTACTGTGTCGAGCGCCTCCATTTTGTATGCTTTCTCCCGAGAAGGGAAAATTCTCGGGTTGATTTTCCGGAACGTGATGACCCCGCCTTGGCCCCCCCGTCCCGCGTCGGCCGTTACCGTGGTGAGGAAGGTGAGCGGCCCGTCGCGGTATCCCAGCCTCAGGTAGACGTACGTGGGGAGGTCGTAGTCATTGGAGGTGAGCGAGGCCACGCGCAGCGCCTCCCGCACGCGGTGGCGGGCAAAGCGCAGGTTGGCCACGCTGTTGCTGTGCGACTTGAGGATGGTGATGGACGGGTAGAGCGCCGTGCTGCTGTTCCACAGCCAGCGCAGCTCGTCGTTGCGCAGGCTCTCCATCAGCGGGCACAGGCCGGTGTAGCCGCTCTCGTGGAGGTTGTAATTGTGGCAGTCGGGGTAGAGGTAGAAACCCCACAGGCCGTTGGGGCGCAGGCGCGTGCCCAGCTGGAGCGTGCGCTGCATGAAGGCCCGGGCGCTCTTCTCGAAGCGGCGCCGCGCCAGCTCCTCCACCTCAAAAGCCAGTCGGGAAAAAAAAAAAAGTCATTTATACGGCACCTCTCAATGACGGGAGTCCACAAAGCGCTATGAAGTCGACTGGACATAAACCACACACTTGAGGTGTCATTGTCTCCTATTACCCCGAGAGGGGACCGTCTGGTTGCAGAAAATCAAGCTCGGGGCTGTGGTGAGTCGTCATTTTCATGCACTGTGAATTTGCGTTGTATCGTATTTTGAAGGCATTAAACATTACCATAGCGATCAGAGTGTTGCGGCCAGATTAGACGCTCCTTGTGTTTATTATTATATTTCGTAAACATCACAGTTTTCATGCAGCTCATACCATATTATTTTGTTGTATTATTTCCGCCACACCTTAAATGCCGGTCCCTGAAAATATTGTCTGAAATAAACCGGTCCATGGGGCAAAAAAGGTTGGAGACCCCTGTTCTAGTGTAAAGTCTGGAAAATAGAAAAATCCTTCTCGAAAAAAAAATAGGACCGCAAACTAACGATTGTTTGAATAATTGATTCAAATATTGGTCCAAAAAAATCGTTGATGATTCAAAGAATCCGATGAAGAAAATCAAACCTGTTTTAATTTGTGTCCCTTGCTTGTAAAAGCGGACATGATATCCGATACCGACGACGCTGACGATGCACAAAACGATCCCGCTACTGCTTTGCGCCGTCAGAAAATCGACAAAAATGTTCATTTTCCAAAAGTCAAAGCAGTTGTTTGCAAATTTGTTCACCGGATTGAAGGCAAAGATAATCAGTCCTGCTTTCATGGGGCACTGTTGACATGGGAGAAGATTGACTGTCGAGAGGCTCCAATCGGAGGTGTTGGACAATTGGAAGTTAAACGACGCCCGTCAACGATCAATCCGTGAGTCACGGATTAGTTGCCGCCCCTCCAATGTTCCAGTAACGATGCCCTTTCAATCAACTGCTACTCGAACAAAACCGGAGCAGCGCAGGCCAACATTTGGAAATCCGTGCCGCCGTCGCGCTTCGTTGGGAAGGCGGCATCCTCACCTGCGCCGCCGTCACGTTCAGGTACGCCTTGGCGGTCAGCTCCCGCGACTTTCGCCGGTAGACGTCCTTCTTGTGCCAGTTGCGGCTCCACTGCGGCCGCCAGAACTCCCAGTCGATGACGGCCAGGCCGCGGAAGTCTTCGGCGGGGATGAAGTGCGCGATGTCCCGGTAGGCCTTGAACAGGTGCACGTCCAGGCTGCCGTTCTGCGGGACGCCCCCCGGCACCGCCCCGCC